CGCCTCTCCTCTCCTCTCCTCTCCTCTCCTCTGCCCATAGTTCCTAGCCAGCAGCAGCAGCAGGAGGAGGGGGAGTGGCGGAGGCCGATGGGAGTTGTAGTCCTCCACTTCTGCAGGGCGCTTAGGTGGGGGGCGGCTGCTGGACTGGAAAGAGGGCGGGGCTGCAACTCGCACAAGCCCGGCGTCTGTAGCCCGGGGTGTCAGCTCGCCTACGCGTTGCTCTACATCTTCTTTCCCAGCCAGATGTTCTCCAGATGATAAGGCAAGGCTGCTGCCGCTGGATGGCAGCAAAGAGAGGGAGAGACGCGCACACAGAACTCGCGGCCGCCCTCTCGTGGTGTCTGGAATTTCTGCAGCCCAGATTGGGGATCCAGATGTGGCCCGTGTTCCCAGCTCCCGTGCAACCCAGTTTGTCACTCTGAGTTTATGGATGACGCTTTTGCCCCATCGATGAGGCAATTCTTCCAACGTGTTCTTCTGCTTTGCAAAGCAAGTTCTTCTTCATCAAAATGGAAAAGAGGAGATAGGAAAAAAATCCAGGATAATTTTTTGTGGCAATAAATATGAAAGATTCAGCCAGGGTGTCTGCAGGGTGTGGTCCAAAAAGTCAAGATGGGGCTGCAGGGGTGCAATTGAAGTTCTTCTGCTTTTTAGGGGTATCACAATCCACATAAAAAGGGGCAGAGCTTCAACCAAACCATCGTGGCTTCCCCCTTGACTTCAGTACCCTGAACTGAAAGCTGGACTCAGCTTTCACACTTCAGAGAAGGTCCAAGATTTTCTCATGTCCTGCTGAACAAGATTAACCCCTTACTGGATCATGGTGATTGGGGTGTTTGCTCCTAGAATATTAGCAAGTGCTTTTGAGGACTTCTTAAGTCTTTCCCAACCAGGAGCATTGCAGGCTGGGGATGATGGGAGTTGCAATCAAGCGCATCAGGAAAGACTGTCTTGATATTATCATAGCTCACTGATTACAATGGCCTAAAAGTGATGTTGCCATTTACCAAAATGATGGCTGCAGAATATTGATCTCATTGTATCATTGTGTTCTTATACCCACATCGCCTAAAAGGACACTGAACTGTTCAGAGTGGTAAAAACAATAAGGGACTGGGAAAAGCTTCAGAGGGGTCTCTGCCCATTAATGGGCATCAAAGTGGCAGATGTCATTCAACGTGAGCAAGTGTAAAGTGATGCACATTACTGCCAAAAATCTTACACATGCAAACTAATGGGATCAGAACTAGCAGTGACTGATCAGGAAAGAGATCTTGGAGTAATGGTAAACAGTTCAATGAGGGTGTCAACACAGTGAGTATCTGCTGTAAAAAAGGCCCACAGCATGTTAAGGATAATAAGAAATGGTACTGAAAATAGAGGTGCCAATATCATAATGCCCTTATATCAATCAGTGGTGCAACTGCATCTGGAATGATTGAGGTCTGCAAAAGTATGCATGGTATGAATAAAGTAGACAAGGAGAAGCTATTTCTCCCTTCCTCAAATGTTAGAACCAGAGGTCACCCAGTGAAATTGAATTCTGGAAGAATCAGGACAGACAAAAGGAAATATTTTTTTACACAATGTGTAATTAGGTTGGCTATAAGTCTTGATGGCAGTGTGATGGCCTGTGAAGGCCATCTGCTGGGAGGCTAGTGGGCTTCC